GCCTTTTTTCAGGCCTGGTCGGACCCGGTAGGCCCTGGGGACCCCAGCTGAYGGCGATTCAGGGTCTGAACCCCCCCCCGACAAGGTGTGCTGGGGGTGCCCGGCCCCCAACTGGGCCGCCCGCCCGGCCAGGCCGCCCGGGACCTCCCCCGGGCAGGCGCTGGTCGACCGGGCGGCCCGGATCCGTACTCAGGCAATATGGCAATATGCTCAATTTCTCACTTTTTTTTCTTTTTTTTTTTTAACCTTACCAATTTACGAGGATTCTGAACTCAGGTTTTTAACTGCTTCAGAAGCTCTCCATGCAAACCTATCCAACTCTTTGTCAGGGGCTGTTCTTTACTGTGTTCCAATGAGGCAAAAATTTTAAGATCTGCAAGGGATGAGCCCCTTGACGACGCTGGAAAAGGCCCTGCCAGCCATGAGTGAAGGCGGGCCAGCAAAATTGAGCCTTGGCCTGTCTACAGGCCGATATGAGCAGACTGTGGGACCCTGTGTGTAGTTGCTGCATGCGCCATCCACAGCGAACCAGTAGGGCCTAGCCTCCCGGTAGTTGTAGATGTTGAGGCCCAGGGCTCAGGCAGATAGGCCCTGGGCAGATTCTGGAAGGGCCCAGGGCGCAGCCAGGCCAGAGAAAGCACGGCCTCCAAGCAAAGAAGACCCGGAGAGGCAGCACGACCTCCACATTCTGGCTGGCAAGCATTGCGGCAGCACTGTCCAAGCGCTAGCGTGAGCAGGACGCACCAGAGAGTGAGTTGCATGGCGGTAGGCAGCAAGAAGACGGAGAGCGGCAGCCATAGCCAGGCTGCTCGCTCTACGGCTGAGTGGTGCAGTAGTGGTGGTCCCTGGGGAAGAAGGTACAGATGGATGATGGTGGAGGAGATGACAGGAGTGTGACGAACACGTACCTGGTCCTGAAGAAGTGGGTTGTTCGGTCAGATTCTTCAGCCGGCATTTGGCTAATCGCCATGCGAACCTGTTGTAGCGATAGTAGGCTAGGTTGATAGGAGCGTCTGTCAGTAGTCTGTGTGGAAAGATGCCGGTAGGAGGGACACATTGTTGTTGTATTGGTGATTGGAGGTGAAGGAAGGGCTTTCATTATCAAGAGGCTGCAATGTGTTGCTCGATCTTATTTGGTGTGATCTCGCTTTGCATTCTGCTGTCAGTTCCGGCTCAGTGATATCTTGTCTTCTGTGATATGTAACATATGTTGCCGATTTGGTCTATTTAACTTTATTGCTATTCGCACGGCTCATTTCCTTGCAGATCCATTATTAAATTCCCTTATTCTTGTAGGCTGCCCTTCTAAGGTGATGGACTCCTCACATTGTTGTCCCTTTTTTCCTGTTAATTTACAGATTATGAATTTAGTATATTTTGGTATTGGGAGGGAGTCAAGTATCTATGGTAGAGGTCAAGAGTCGTCATGATAACGGAAAAAAGGAGGCCAGGCAGCTGACCGAGGCGAAGCAGAGTATCAGAGGTGTGTAATTTCTGGACCCGCTTGGCGCCTTTGTCCATTGCAACGGGCCATTTCAATTGGCACCGTTTTTTGTTCAACTTCGCGCCCAGGGCCCCCGCCGTGTCATGGATCACCCTTCATTGCGCTCGACTCTGTCTGTCTGTCTCTCTCTCTCTCTCTCTCTCTCTCTCTCTCTCTCTCTCTCTCTCTCTCTCTCTCTCTCTCTC